ACAATGAAGAAAACCAAAGACCCCAGGCAACTATTAGTCCAAAGAACGAGGGCCCTTGAGGATCCCCCGCTCCCATCAGCCTGAGACCACAGAACAAGAGAGTGACCAGCACAGTCCCAACTCCTCTGAGTAGGAGCAGTCTTGGACAGAGGGAGAGAAAAATGGTGAACACAATAAAAAAAAAAGTAAAAAAGACAAGAATAAATGTAATGGTCTGATAGAAACTGGTAGAACACTTGGGACTCTGGCTCTTAGATACCCTTCAGACTGCTGGAAACCAGCTTACAGACAGAAAACTAGTAAGGTCATAAAGTAAACAATGACACGGTGAGAAATGTGCCCTTAGCATGTTCAGTTGTATGAGACAAAAGGGCAGCATTTGCCCCAAAGTAACACTCAGGAGGCAGGTGGGGGCAGGCAGGGGCAGGAGGGGACAGGCAGGGGCGGGGGGGGGCAGGAGTGGACAGGCAGGGGTTGGGGGCGAAGGAGGGGACAGGCAGGGGCGGGGGGGCAGGAGAAGACAGGAGGGGGCGGGAGGGAGGAGAGGGCAGGCAGAGGGGGGTTGCAGGCAGTGGCAGGACAGTCGGATGGACAGAAATGAGGAGCACAGGGTACAAGTGGGGAAAGTCCTGATGTAGTAAAAGAATTGCAGCCGAAGCCATGGAATAATCCATGGATTGTTGAAGGAGAACCCAGCTTCCGTTGTAAACTTTCACCTGACCACAATAAAATGCTTTCCAATCAAAACAAAATATTGTTTGTATCTCAACACAAGAAAATAAAAATCATCACCAGTGGACCAATGGACCAGATCATAATAGATGGACAAAGGATTGAAATTGCCAAAGATTGATTTCATTTTACCTGGATTCATATCCAACACCCATGATAGCAGCAGTCAAGAAAACAAAAGATGTGTTGCAATGGTGAAAGATCTGCTGTCTAGGACTTCTTTAAATTGCTTAAGAGTAAGGATGTCAGTTTATAGACCAAGGTGTGCCTAATATAAGCCTAGATCTTTTCAGATGCTTCCCAGACATCTGCATATTGGACAATGAAAAGAAAGACTGGAGAACAATTGATGCCTTTGTATTGTGGTTTTGGAGAAGTATAGAATACCCTGTAGACTGCTGACGAGTAAACTCAGAGGACGTGTAAGCAGGGTCCTTAAAGCCAAGGGGACTCTGTCTCATGTGGGGAGAAGGAGAGGGTCAGAGAAAGGAAGACAAGAAGATGGACCGATGGAGCGGCTGTAACAGTGGGCTCGAGTGTGGCGGAGACCACAGGATGGACTGCGCGGGGCTCAGACCTGTTGTTTGTGGAGTCGCCATGAGACACCATCGACTCTTGGGCTTCTCAAGGCCAATGATGCAGAGACAGAATGTGTGAATGTGAAGTTGGGAGAACGGACAACCTATAAATACACCTTCGAGAGGCAGCCTTCTGCTCTTTTTCTGACCTTCTTTCCAAGGTGATTTAAGAGTTGGGTGTCTGGTATGTTGACGTCTGGACGTTATCTGGGGCACACGCACTTTAGGTGTGATAGTTTAGAGAGATCCTTGGAAGACAAAGGGTCCTGCTGTGGTGCCGCATGGCAGGGCTCCTGTTGGTTCTGGTTCCACACATTTTAGACAATTGATTTGTTTGGCTTCTCAGTAGAAAGGTGGACAAGGACACAGGTGGCCTGAGGGCTGTCGGGGCACCTGCTGTGTGCTCCTGGGCAGCTCTTGCTTTCAAGGTGAGAAGTGCACAGACTCTGCAGTTTGAGGCTGCTGTGTCTTCATTGCTGCCTGTGACTAAGTGACCACCAGCAGCAGAGGCACCATTGGACTCTAATGAGTGACCTTTTGTGTTGGGCTTCGTCCACTCAGCATCCACGTCCCAGCATCTATCAGAACCCATCTCCCTGGCTGGATGGCATCCTGTGGTGTGGACTCTAATGCCATTGGGCATGCATGTGCCTGGTCACAGGTGGAACTTGTCACAAGGATGTGCTCCAATTGGGGCTGACATTGCCAAATTGTTCAGAAAAGGTATGAGTTTTATTTTCCTTTTTTGTTGTGTTGTGTGATGACTCAGACATCAGGGGTGACTTGGAACTCTGTCTTTGCTTTGCAGAAGATGGTGCACATGGGGGTTCCTATCACCTTCCCAGGGGGCAGTCAAACCACAGGTTCCACTGACAATGTCCAGGCCAGGCCGGCATCAAGGTAGCTTTCAACCCTCAGATAAAGCACAGGCCATGTTGAAGCAAATGCTGCTGAGTGCTGGCTCATGGCTGACTTAAGAACCAGGCCTGAGGCTGAGCCTGGATGAAGGGTTTTCTCTTCATAGCAGAGGGAGGCCCACAGGCCTGAGATTCTGGGCCCACACAGTCCAGGACAGCCATGTCACACAAAGTTCTCAAGGATCTTTGGGGACAAGACCTGTGCTCAGTCCCCTAATCCCACCACATGAAATAAAGAGCTTTGAGTCCTGGGATCACTGCCCAGCAGGTGAGGACACCTTTCCAGAGGACTTGCACTAAAAGGCCATCCTACTGCCCTGGAGGCCCCTGATGAATGGCCATGCCTGAGTCCCAGGTAGAAGCCAGAAGCCCTGGGGAGAAGTAAGGGCCTTTCTCCCAGAACTAAGATTCAAACGAACTGCATCTGACAGTGGTCGAGAGAAAGCAAACTCACAGTGGCCGAGTTCCTCACGGCACTCATGGTAGCTGTCATGAGCCTTGAGCCTTAACTAATGACTCTTAGACATATTGTTGTTGTTATGTGCTGTTGAGTCGCGACCCTATGTACAACAGCCTTAAACCCTGCTCTGTCCTGTGCCAATCGCTCTGTCTCTGACACTCCCATCCCAATTATCCCAGTCACTGAATCAATCCACCTCATAGAGGGTCTTCCCCTCCTGCACAGTCCCTCCACCCTCCCAAGCATGATGTCCCTCTCCAAGGACCTGTCCCTCCTTACATCATGTCCAAAGTATGTCAGACGAAGCCCCAGAATCCTTGCCTCCAAGGAGCAGCCTGGTTTAATCCTCTCTACGATGAATCTGTTTGTTTTCTTGGCAGTCCATGGTACATTCAATACTCTTCTCCAGCACCACAGCTCAAAGGCATCAATTCTCCTTCTATCCTCCCTAGTCATTGTCCAACTCTCTGATGCGTAACAAGTAATTGCAAAGACCATGGCCTGTATCAGACACACCTTAGTTTCCAGAGACACACCGTTGCTCTTGAGTACTTTACGAAAGTAAATTACAATTTGTCGATTAATTAATTAATGAATTCATAGCAATAATTTCAATTTATCTACGTTGCAATTTATAAATTCATCACAACATATTGATTCATCAACAGTGGCGTATACTCACTCACTCCAGGATCCAACTCGTCGTCTTCTTTTGCCTCTCATGGTCATTGGTGCAGTCAGGGGGTTCTCCGCTAGTTCAGCAGTTCGACGCAGCCAGGGTCCGTCAGTGTGGGCAGAATCCTCCACTGTCTCGGTAGCTCATGTTCGTCAGTGTACGTCAGTCTTTGGCTCTAAAAAGAGGCTTTGGGTCTTCAGTGTTGAGCTCATTGTGAAGTGCAGAAAGAGAGTTGCTGGGCACAGCCAGAGTTTTATCTATGTGGCTTCCCCGCTTTACACTGCGCTGAGGCAAGTGGGGCATGCTGAATACCAATATGGGTTTGACCAATTATGTTCAATACTAGTTGTGTTTCCTTGACAACATGGCAGTAACCAGTCATATGTCCTTATCAAGGGTCTGCACCTGTTGTGGTCAGTGGGGTCCCAGGGCCACTAAGAGTATGTTTTTACAAATATTCTTAACATAATTTCTAACAGCAAATTCCTAACATGTTTCTTATTTTATTTCTAATATATAACATAGCAAGTTCTTAACATATTTCTTATTTCTAAAGTATAGCAAATTCCTAATCTATTTATTATTCTTAAATTTACCAGTTATGTTCTCGTAGCAACTGAGGCCAGTAGCTTTACAGGCAAGTTATTGTCAGTTCCATTCCTTATCAAGGGTTTGCACCTCCTGCGGTCAGTGGGGCTCCAGGCCTCAAAGAGGCCCTTTCAACATGTTAAACTGCTAGAATATTTTTTCACAAATATTCTTATTTCTATACTTAAGCATCAAATTCAGCATAATATTTTTCCACAGGAAACATATTTCATAATGTTTTATAGCAAATTAACAGCAACTTATGGTATCTCATATATGTGGTACAGCAAAATGAATATCTTTTTCTTAAACTGCTCATAATAGTAGTCAATGTTCTAAAAGTCTGCTCAGAAGAACTGGCAGAGGCTTTACCTGAGAACAGCTTGATCATCACCTGGGCCAGGTGCACACCTTCCACTCCTGTCCTGGCCCTGAGAGCAGCACCAGGAGGTCCAGCCCTTCCGGCTCAGGCTCTGTGTCTGCTGTGGTGGTGGTGGTTGTGTGCTGTCAAGTCAGAGCTGATTCACCTCCGACCCTGCAGCAGTTCTGAGGCTGCAGACCACACAGGAGGAGAGGGCTCAGGGCAGCTGGTGGGTTCCGAGCACATGCCTTGGGGTCAGCGCAGCTCTTTAGCCCCCAGCTCCCAGCTGTAGACCCGTTTACAGCAGGTACAGAGAGGCACGTAAGTGGAAATATGCATTTAGGCTTTTAAGTGTTAAGGCTTTGTTGGGTTCTGACTATTTCTCACCAAGCAGCGGAGGCAGGAAGCACTACATCACGCCAGATGCTGTAGTCATTTCAACGTGCACACGTGGCCTTCGAAGGAGTGTTCAGTTGAATCTGTTCTCGTTAGTTCTGGTGTGATCTTACTGGGGCTTCTCCTGCCGTCTCCGTCCTCTGGGTCTAGACTTGGTCCCCTCACTCACTAGAGTTCCTGGCCCTAAGGAGCCCCTGAGTCTGTGGGAACTGAGGAGGCCACATCCTATGATCCACTCACCAGGGGACACTGAACAATGCTGACCCCTGCCCCTCTCTGTCCTCTCCCTCAGATGTGTCCAGGTGTGTGGCCGAGCGGAAGTACACTCAGGAGCAAGCCCGGAAGGAATTCCAGCAGGTGTTCATCCCTGAATGCAGTGAGGATGGCACCTACAGCCAGGTGCTGACCTGGGCTCGGGAGGGCTGCACTGGGCAGACGAGGGAGAGAGGGCTGTGCTGGGCAGATGGGGGAGAGAGGGCTTTCCTGGGCAGACAGGGGAGAGGGCTGTGCTGGGCAAATGAGGCAGAGAGCTGCGCTGGGCAGACGGGGGAGTGGGCTGCGCTGCGCAGATGGGGAAGAGAGGGCTGTGTTGGGTAGACAGGGGAGAGGGCTGTGCTGGGCAGATGAAGGAGGTCTGCACTGGGTGACGGGAGAGAGGGCTGTGCTGGGCAGATGGGGGAGAGAGGGCTGTGCTGGACAGATGGGGGAGGGCTGTTTTAGGTAGGTGGAGGGAGGGCTTTCCTGGGCAGACAGGGGAGAGAGGGCTGTATTGGGCAGGTGGGGGAGGGCTGTTCTAGGTACATGGGGGAGGGCTTTCCTGGGCAGACAGGGGGAGAAGGCTGTTCTGGGCAGATGGGGGAGAGAGGGCTTTCCCGGGCAGATGGGGAAGAGTGCTGAGCTGGGCAGATGGGGAAGGGATGTGGGGGAGGGCTGCTTTGGGCAGATGGGGGAGGGTTGTGCTGGGCAGATGGGGGAGGGCTGTCCTAGGCAGATGGGAGGAGGCAGGGGTGCCTTGGGCAGACAAGGGAGGGCTGTGCAGGGCAGATGAGTGAGGGTAGGAAACACTACTTGGGTAGCATTATCCTGGAAATAATTAGTAACAAGGCTCATCTTTAAAGTGAGTGCACCAGTGCCTTTGTTCTTTACCTGGGAAAAGTGTCCATGCCACTGGAGTTCATGGTCATTACTCCATGAGCGTGTTGGTAAGCCTGTTGCAAAGAATTTAATTCAGGTTTCTCTGAATTCTGAGGGAGTAAACATTAAAAGTTACAGGGGGAAGGAGGGATTAATCATTGGGTTGTACAGTTTGATGAGGGGGTGAGAGAAATGGAAAGAATTTGTTCTTGAAAACAATGTATTTGAATTTTGTAAATAAACTCATAGAAAATTAAAAAAATTAAAATAAATAAAATGAAAATGTAAAGAAAAACATTTACAGAGCTGTAGTGCCAACAGTGAGTTTAGGATGCCTTAGCAGTACCAGCCTGAGACGGGTGTGCATGAGGGTCTAGGTCAAACCAAGTCCAATGACTCTCCTCGGCAGTGTCCAGAAAATGGCCCACAGTTATTTATACTTGTTGGTGTTGTTATTCATGATTAAGAAAAAAAAATCTTAAAGTGCAATGACAGTTGTTCCTATTTTTGGTCGAGAAATAAAATATCATCTGCCGTCTGACATGCCTGTGATCCGTCAGATCACGATGAAATTCTATCGCTGTTGTAACAGTCGTTTGACCATTTCGAGTCCAAGGACAGAAAGAAGAGGGTGGAGCAGTGTGGTGGACAGGTGTGAGGCGTCTCTGGGGGGCTGTCCTGATGGCGAGAGGTGCCTGGGGGAGTGGAGGGAAGGGGAGGACATATGCTGTGGTGAGCATTGCCACTGGGCACCTGGCTCCTAGTGCCCTCCTGCCTCCTGGGGCCTCAGTCTCCTCCTTTGTCAGAGGGTTCAGCCTGCACTTCATAGGTGGTGAGGACCAGAAAGCAGATGCAGTGCCTGCCAGACCAGTGTCCCTCCACAGTCCTGTGGTCACTTCGGTCCTCAAACCTCAGGCCAGTGTTGAGTCCTCAAGCCTAACATCTCAGGAACGCTCACTCTCTTGCTACGTTTACCTCAAATGAGATGAAGAAAAAGGCTGCCTAAAATAGGTCCCTGAGACTGGCCACATGGTGTCTTTTCTTACAGGTCCAATGTCACAGCTACACGGGATACTGTTGGTGTGTCACACCCAACGGAAGGCCCATCAGTGGCACAGCGGTGGCCCACAAGACACCTAGGTGCCCTGGTAGGTACCATGGCATGTCTGCCCACACATGCTTATCTTTCTTTCTCGTCCCTGCCCCTGTATCTGCTTCCGTCTTCCTCTGAATCCAAACAAGGCTAAGTTTACGGGCAGGGGTTATATGGAGGACGGGAGCAGACTTTATCACCGGGAAAGGTAGGAAAACTATCACTTTTCAAAAAGGAGAAAAGCGTGTGTGTGTGTGTGTGTGTGTGTGTGTGTGTTTACATGTTGTTCTTGTTGTATCATTGAGTCTGAACCAATCCATGGCTGGCCCTCCAGCAGGGCTCAGAGATCATTAACCACACAGGAGGAGATTGCCCGTCTTTCTCCTGCGGAGCAGCTGGTGGATTTGAACTTTTGGATTCGCAGCACAGCTTCTTATCATTATGTGTGTGTATTTAATACACATAAAAGAATATATTTGTATAGAGAGAACGACGTGGATGTGGATGTTTAGATACAAGGGCTGATGTAAAGATACACAGATGTGCTGATATAAAGCTATAGCTATGGATACAAATGTCAACATACAGACATGTGTATGAATACAGAGACAGAGGAATCTATAGAGATTCTGAATTATAGATGCATAGACAGATATGTCAATGCAGAGACATGCATCTAGACACGTAGGGGTTTAGACCCAGATGCTAACACACAGATACAGACACGGATGTAAGGATACAGACACAGAGGTAAGGATACAGACGCAGATGCCTAGATATAGACGCTGATGTACAAATTCGGCCGTAACCGAGAGCAAACTCACCAGATGACGCCGTCCCTGAGTCAGAGCGGAATTAGATCTTGACAACCCAAGGACTGTGGTCACAGGCAGCAATGACCAAATGTTTTCTTTGGCAAGAAAAAATAAATGTTTCTGGTTTTGGATGTACATATTCACAAAGAAAAAGTGACTCCGTCATAGATGAGTTTGCACAATTACTCAGATGACTAATTGGTGTCCTAAAGGTAACGACATTGGCAGAAGAGCCTACAAAATGACCAGTTTTCCACTAATATTTTTCTACAAGTGCTGTACAGTACCCAGATCATGTTTATTTGCAGACATTCTGGAGTTTGAAATGTGCAAGGGAGGACTTTCATTATCTTCCATTAGCAGCCAGAATTCTCTGATGGCCAAGGACGGAGAGACTTCCTCTCACATACTTTGGAAGTGGGATTAGGACAGAGCCATCCCTGCAGAAAGACATCAGCCTGGGTAAAGTGGAGGGACATGAAAGGGAAGGACTGGTGCAGGGATCGTAGCTCCCATCTTCTTGTGTGTCCTAGAAAGACCTTTGAAAGGGATCACTTACTAGATTTCACAGTTGCATGTTTTTAAAAGCTATTAATGCAGAAGAATGGCAGAGACAGTTAAGAAAGTGCTCCAACCAAACCTTCTCTGAAGATCCTTGGAAGGAAGGCCCGGTGGTCTGCTTCTCAAGGGCCACAGCCTTGAAACAAGAAGTTCTACTCTGCTCACCTGTGGTCTCTGTGACTTGGGACTGACTTGGTGAACGCTCTCAGCAACAGCCAACAATCCGTTCAGCCAGTTCCTCTACTGCTGGGGATGTGGAGCTGGAGGGATAGTTCAGGCAGATAGTCTCGTTGGTCATGGTGATGAAGGGTCAGCTCTTCCTCGCCTTCAGCCTTTGCAGCTCTCGGCTGTCAGGGTGGTGAGCAACCTGTTAGGGCACATGAGTGAAACATCTCAGTCACAAAAGGACAAATACTGCATAGCACCACTGTTATAAAGCAGGTCTGACATGGGGATTTGGGAGGCGAATAAGGTAAGAGTGGCTAGATAATGACCACAGCATTGGAACAGATGAAAGAAAGAACTGTCTAAAGTGAAAATATGCTTATACCTACAAAGACAGCCCAGAATAAGAGATATATCATTGCAAAGAGGACTGGTGGGGGCAGGGGAGAGCTAGGTAATTGTGCAACAAGGAATGAATATTGAAAAAAAGGTGAACCGAGGAGGGGGAAGAGTGGACAAGGGGGTGAAATGTGCAATGAAGGAATGAAAACGTAACTTATTTGTAAATGCTTATTGAAATCACAATTAAAATATTTTTTTAAAAAGAGGCAACACTGTTTGCTCCTCAGTTGACTGTGGAAGAGGGGCGTGGAGACAGGTCAGGAGCTTTGGGGGTACTCTGGGAGTACGAGGCTGTGCTAAATGGTAAGATCATCCTCTCAAGACTAGGATGCCAGGCTGCTCTGAGGGTAGAGAGCAGATGCACCTTTGTTTCCAATTTGCTGAGGGCAGGTGTTTATCACCTGGAAATGACCACCCTCTCCAGAAACGCAAGTCCCAGGCCTCCTGCTCAGCACCACATTAAGGCACAAGGAGGCCACGTGGCACCCCAACCTCCCAGGTGCTCCCTAGATGACTCTGGGAGCTCACTCAGCCTCTGCCCAGGTGTGTGCGATTCAAGGTTCTCCACCTGTGCCAGGTGAATGACGTCCCTTCAGGGGAAAGTGCTTCCATGGCTTCATATTTGAAAGGTAACCTTGAGGGAGGTACTAGAGAGCATGAAGACAGTGCCCCTTTGTCTAAGGGAAGGGTCATAGGTTTTTAATCCCATCTGTCTTCTGTAACTGTGGACCCTAACAAGCCCTCACCCCTGACATGCATTTTTAATATTATAATATATTAAGAATAAACTGCAGATCTCAGTTTATAGAAAGGTGGAAACTATGGGGAAGGATCCCAACCCCCAGCTCCAAACCACCTGGGCTTTTTGGAAGTCCAGAGCCAGGAGCTGTTTAGCGCTTTCATAAATTGAACACAAGCGGCTCTGGTGGCCTAGTGGGTAGGGAGTGTGCTGCCAACGTGAAGGCAGGCAGTTCAAGTCCACCAGCTGCTCCATGAAGAAGACTGGAAATCTCTGTGCAACTTACAGTCTTGGAAGCTCAGTGGAAGGTGAGCCATGAGTTGGTGCTTGATTGATGATGCCGAGGTTTTTGAAGTGAAAGTAGAAACACCTGGTTGAAGTCTTGTCTAGTCTTGAAACCCTTCTTTCTTAGAGGAAAGCAATTCTTCTCTTTATCTCTGTTCACCCAGGACATTCAGATTGCTTTAGTTGTAGAATGCTTTTCATTCCCTGGGTTGAGAAGGAGTGAGTAAGAGGTCGTCTTTAAGAAAGTTTTATGATCTGAGAGTAAATCTGCCATCCTGTTTATGTAGATTGTATATTTCAGAGATTCTAACATGGGAATCTTTGAATGCCCGTTTTAAAATAACAAAAATAATTTACATTTGTTTGAAAAACATTTCAATATATGCTGCTGTTGTTGTTATGTGCCGTCGAGTCACCTGTGACTCATAGCAACCATATGTACAATGCAGATTGTTGATGAATCTTCCTTCAAATATGCCACATTTCTCTTCATAGAGCCCAGACTCACGGATAATTTGTTCTGCATATAGACTGGAAAAGGTCTGGAATAGGACACAACCCTGGTGTACATCCTAACTAATTTTGAAACACACAGTGTTTCCTTGCTCTGACCTGACACCTGCCTCCTAGTCCAAGTATAGGTTTCACATAAGCACAATTAAGTATTCTGGGATTCCCATCCTTCTCAGAGTTAGACACTGTTGTGATCCAAATCAACGAAACACAGATAAACATTCCTCTGGTACTTCCTGCTTTCAGCCAAGATTCAATTAACATTAGCATTAATATCCCTAGTACCATGACCTCTTCTAAGCCCAGCCTGCACTTCAGGCAGTTCTCTGTTGACATGGTGTTCTAGTCATTTTTGGATAATCTTAAGAATCTTGTTTGCATGTGACATCAGTTGTTCAATAATTTCTACATTCTGTTGGGTCACCTTTCTTTGGAATGGAAACAAATATAGATCTCTTCCAGTCAGTTGGCCATGTGAATGTCCTCCAGACTTCTAGGCACAACTTGGTGAGCACGTCCAGGGCAACATCTGTTTGTTGGATTATGTCAGTTAGTGTACCATCAGTTCCCGGGGCCTTGTGTTTTGCCAGTTCTTTCAGAGCAGCTTGAACTTCTTTCTTCATCACCACAGCTTCTTGCTCATATGTTGTTTCATTAAATTCTTCTGCCAGTTCTTTTTGGTACAATGACTGTATACTCTTTCCATTTTTTTTTAATGCATCCAGGATAATATTCTGCCCAACGCATCCTTAAGTATTGTAACTCAAGGTTTGAATTTGTTCTTCAGTTCCTTCAGCTTAAGAAATGCTGAGCGAGTTTGGCCCTTTTGATTTTCTGACTCCAGTTCTTTGCACATTTCGTTATATTTTTCTTCCCACGCTGCCGTTTGAAATCTTCTGTTCAGCTCCTTAGCATCGTGATTTCTTCCGTCTGCGCCGGCTTCATGCGCTCTAGTGCAATATTCAGAGTCTCTTCTAACATCCATCTTCGTCTTTCCTTTCTCTTCTGTCTTTGCAATAACCTTTTGTGTTCTTCCTGTATTCTATTCTTTATATTCTCCCACACCTCGTCTGGTTTTCACTCATTAGTGTTCAAGGCCTCAAACCTGTTCCTGAGATGGTTTAAAATTCAGGGGATAGACTTAAAGTCAGATTTAGGTTCCCATGGATTTAGTTTTCCTTAGCTTCAACTTGAAGTTGCATATGAGTAGTTGAGGGTCTGTTCCACAATCAGCACCTGACCTAGTTTTTACAGCTGATGTTAAGTTTCTCCAGTGATTGTTTCCACAGTTGTAATTGATCTGATTCCCATGTATACCATAATGTGAAGTCCATGTGTATAGCCTGCACTTATGTTTCTTAGAAAACATATCTGCAATGAATAAATTGTTGATTATGTAAAATTCTATCATTCTATCTCCAGCTTCATTTCTGTCACCAAGTCCATGGTTTCTGACTACTGATCCTTCTTCTCTGTTCCCAACTTTTGCATTCCAGTCACCCATTTTTATTAATACATCTTGATTGCATGTTCGATCAATCTCTGACTGCAAAAGTTGGTAGAAATCTTCTATTT